AAAAAAAAAAAAAAAGCAAAGCAAAAATATTTTGTAATGAACTTTTTCTCATATAGTGTGTAGGAAAAAGTGTGTGAAATTCACTTTATTTTGAGCTGTCAAAGGGGGGAAAATGAGTGGTATTGTGACTTAAAGTGATTGAATTAAGGAGTTAAAAATTTACCAAAAGCTACAAAGACAAGGAAAAAAAGGAAGGGGAAAAGAAAAAACCACATATCTCCATAGTTTTTTTTTTTACCCGGACCGGCCCGACGGGTCGACCTGGAACCCGGTCGACCTGGAGCCGAAATCGGTCCGAGTGAGCTATTTGGACCGGGCAACAAAGAACCCGGTCAAAACCCGACCAACTCGACCTTGACGCGAGACATTGACCCGGCCCATATATATTTTTTAATTTTTCTTTGTTTTAAAAATAAAACTATATAAGTATGTTTATATGGTAAACATTTATCATGAGATACATATTATTAACACTTTAATATACAAATTTTATACACAAAATATTTAATTTTGTTACTTTTATGTATATTTGTATGACGAAAGTACTCTATATATAACTTAAATAATTTTTAAATTAATTATCCGGTTCAGCAATTGAACCGGTGACCCGGCGATTGAATCGATGACCCGGAGAACTACCCGAATTAATTACCGGGCCGGGTTTAAAAACTATGCATATTTCAAATTTATTTTCTATTTTTCTTCTTCTCTTAATGTTTGAATTTAAATTATTTAGCCTTTTTTTTTAGTAATGCTATTTAGCCCACTTAGTTGACAACTTCGGTTACAACTCAAGTGTAAATGCTTTATTAAAAATTTAAAAAATTATGCATTTACACTTATGTTGTAACCCATGTTGTCATCCAAGTGGGTTCTATAGCATTACTCTTTTTTTTTTCTATGCATTATATTTATTATAATTTACTTCTAGATGAATTGGTGAACATCGGATAAGTGGGCCTATTTCTCAATTGGTTTCACCCCACACATGGGCTTCAAAACGGACAATACTTTAATAAAGCCCATTTTAAATTGGTCCCTCTAAGAGAAGCAAAATACATAGAGACGACGAAGATTGTGTTAACTTGGACGAGAGTGAGATTAGAAAAATGGCTGCGTCAAAAGCTCAATCAACGCCATATCCAAGCGCAGCTCGAATCTCAGATTCTGAGTGCTACCCTGCTTACACGGCCTCACTCAAGTGTAAGCCCTTTCGTAATTTAGCTTTACCTGCCATTCTTAATTATATTTTTGTGTGTTTGAAAGCTCAATTTGGATCGTAGGGTTTCCAGATTTTTTTACAAATTTGTGGGTTTTTGTTATTTTTTTTTGTAATTGTAGATTTTTTTATGCCTATGTTTTGTTTTTATCGCTGTATATGAGTTGATTTTGTGCGTGTTGGCCCCCCCATACATAGTGGCGTGTACCTGTTTCTTTAGATGCTGTGTTGGGTGAGTTTTGCTTATTTTACAGAGCTGTAATTGGTTGTCCTGTGTGTACTTTCCTGCTAGTGATTGATTTTGTGAGTGTTTTTGGTGAGAAAAATCTAAACTTTATGGCTCAGTGGGTGGCTTTTTTGTGAGATTCATAATATTGGTGAAGTTTGAGCTTCAAATTCATGTCTTTAGTATGGTTGGTCGACAATTGGCGGAAAAACATGAAATAGTTACGAGCTAGTTGTTAATTGTTATCAGCTCGCTTCGGATGGAACCGGAATTTTAACCAGATTGCTCTCTTTATGATAGTTGTGTTGCAATTCGCGCAAGTCTTCAAATTTCTTATGTTATTAGTGCCTCGACTGTTTTTCGCCTTAGTCTTGGTAAGTTGGTGTGTGGTATATAGTACTTGTGTTGTTTGTTGATGAAGTATGACGAAGGCTTGTTGTGATTGAGAATTTGAGACTGGTTTTTTTTTTTTTTTCGGATTTTTCTCGGTGGTGCTACAGTAGACTTTGAACTCGATTCTTCCATATTTGCAGGCTTGGAAGTATATCGTGATGACAAGAGTAAGTGCCAGGAACATTTTGATGTTTACAAGGAATGCAAGAAAAAGGAGGTATAATTATAAAGATCCCTGTATCTTTTATGTCGAAGGATTATTTTGCAGGATTATTATAAAAAAATGTTCGGTTTTAATTCATTAACTACAAATACCCTCTGAAAAAAACACTCTGTACTTTTACATCTCCATGGGGTTAAATATTACCTATAGGATTTGAAGTTGCTGATGTAAAATTTGCAACAAGTGGCGATGGAAATTTGTCATTTCGAAAGATCAATTTGAACTTTTCTGCAAATATGGCTAAATCCCTTATTGCCTTTTGGAGACTGAAGTATCAAATGATCAAATATGCTTATGTTTTTGTTTTTGTTTTTTTTTTTCTTTTTCTTGATTGTTGACAGAGAGAAGCACGACTAGAACGCAATAGGAACCGGTCTCTCTTCTCATGAGATTTATTGGTTCATAGTCACACGGAACTCCTATAGGATACGTAAAGAGGTGTAATACGTCTCATGCCCGTCTGATTTTATGCTATTTTTGTAGTGCCATTTTCAAGAATAATGGAATATCATACATGTTATGTTCCTATGTACTTATAAATATGGTTGTTCGGCATTCATGAGGCAGTGTACGGCATGTTTTTACAATATGTTATGTATGTTAAAAGTTTGGTGTTCTTTTTTTTTTTTTTTCTTTTAAAAGAGGATCAATAGTTGTTTCTCACTTGAACTCGAGACGTATTGGTTACTGCTGCCAACTGCCGAGCTAATTAATAATAAATGAGCCTTTTGACTCACCCATTCGAAACGAATACACTCTCCGTAGTTTCTATATGGTAGATTTGAGGTGTGGGATACTAGACGATGGCCTCAGCAGTAATTGAGGAATGATATTCCTAAAATTAATTAAAAACAATATTAATCCTTGTAAAATATGTGTTCAACATAATGATAAAAAATTAATTTTGAGTGAACGATTTTTTTTTTCCTATTCTAACTGGTGCAGTCATCGAATCGAACAAGCTAAGATTTGGTTGTTCGAGCTCGTGTTTGTTTACGTTTGAACAGTGTTCGTGTTAGTTTATTTTTCGAACAAAAAATCGTGCTCGAACTCGTTCGTTCAATTGTTCGTCAAATTTTGAGTTCATTTGTGTTCAAATAATTTAGGACATAAACTTTTTAAATATCTTTGATAAATTTGAAATTTGTTCATTCGAACTCTAAAAAAAAACATAAAATAAAAATATTTTTATATTACAGATTTTTAGTAAAGGTATTATATAAACATTATTAGAACCAGGAAAGATGGTGCAGTCCCACCAAATGAAGCGCATCATAAGAAGGTGAGTTTGGGTACACCTTAGTGAGTTACCATCTCAAAACCAATTGGTGATGGGAGGAGTAGCTCACAAGACTTATATGCTAGGTTCATTTTCCCTATAGAATCAATGTGAGACAACTCACAAGTGATAGTGCAATATGCCCCCCACTTGTGAGTCTTTCGTAAGGACAAGCCCACAGAGTAGGCCGGGTAGAGAGATAAGCCCAAGCCCAGAGCAGGCCGAGGAGAGAGAGTCATTGCAGGTACTAGGACAAGCCTGCTCTGATACCATATTATAACCGAGGAAGTGGGTGTGGTCCCGCCGAGTGAAGCTTCGTAAGCCCAAGCCCACAGAGCAGGCCGGGTAGAGAGATTAGCCCAAGCCCAGAGCAGGTCGGGTAGAAAGAGTCATTGCACGTCTTAGGACATACCAACTCTGATACCATATTAGAACCGAGAAGAGGGTGCGGTCCCACCAAGTGTAGCGCACCATAAAAGGGTGAGCCTGGGTGCACCTTAATGAAGTTCCATCCAAAAATCAAATGGTGATAGGAGGAGTAACCCACTAGGCTTATATACTAGGCTCATTTTCCCTATAAATCAATGTGGGACAACTCACAAGTGATATTCCATCACGTCCCTAGTCTTTCATAAGCTCAAGCCCACATAGCATGCCGAGTAGAGAGAGTCACTGCAGACCCTAAAACATGTCCGCTCTGATACCATATTGGAATCCGGGGAAGAGGGTGCGGTCCCACCGAGTGAAGCGCACCATAAGATGTTGAGCCTAGGTGCATCTTAATGAGGTTCTATCCCAAAACCAATTGGTGATGGAAGAAGTAGCACACTATGCTTATATATTAGGTTCATTTTCCCTATATAATCAATACGGGACAACTCACAAGTGATATTCCAACAAACATATAAAAAATAAAATAAAATATTTTAAATTAATGTTCTCGAACATTGTCGATATTCGCGAACGAGCTCGTGTTCGTTCGATTATTAAACGAGTCTAATTTTCTGTTCGCGCTCGGTTCTATTAACCGACGAACGAGCTTTTATCGAACACAAACGAGCTCGAACGAGCTTTTATCTGCGAACGTTCGATTTGTTTACAACTCTAATTCTAACTCTATATTTTATGTCTTGTGGTGTAAATGAGTCGAGTCAGTTATTGATTCTTGAACCTTATTGAGCTAGTTTAGTTCGACTCATTAACTATGTGAAAATTAAGAAATTTCAAAATTAGGAATTAAAAAAAAATGTGAAAATGAAGCATAAAATATCATCACCTCATCTGTCCATCTGTCCGCATCCTCTCTCAGTATCGAAAGTAACCCTAGTTATTATCGTCTCGCCTTCATCGCACCCGATCACTGTACAAATCTGAGCATTTTTCCAGTGGCAAATTTCAGAACCCGCATGATTACATAAATTACAGAGTGTGCTGCTTTTGGGTTTTGATTTTTTTTTTTTTTTTGGCATTTTTTTTGGGTTAATCTGATAACATGTACAGAGATCGAGGAGGGGGCTCATCCAAGGGTGGAGAGATGTTGGATCGGAAGCGAATCAACGACGCTTTGGACAAGCATTTGGAGAGATCTTCTCCTTCCACCTCCAGAATCAAGGGCTCAGCCGCCGCCGCCGCCGCCGCCGCCGCGCCGTCCACCTCCATCGGCGGCGGGAAGCAGATTGATGGCCGGAAGTCGTCAAACGTGCCCACCGACAATAACAAGTACGCCGATGGTGCGTTGTTTCTCTTTTTTTTTTATCAGACTGCAATTTGTGGGTTTTTGTGTTTAATGATGGGACCTATTTGCTATTTTGACATTCCCTTCGTAGGTATTTTGAAATATCCGAATCTTGATTTAAGTTAGTGGCGATTTATAACATGTATGAGCGACGAAACATGGGTGCATCTTGCGTGAATGGTCTTAGCTCTTAATGTACAAAGCCTGGTTTTTCGAGTATTGAGTTAGCAATGGTGTTAGAACAGCAAGTTTACACCTTTTTTTTTCGGCTTCTTAATTCTGGTGTAGCATATTGAGAACATTAAAAAGACCCCGACTTGGAGAACACCAACTTGAGATATGGTTTTGCTATGTTTATGTTGGTTGTTTGTGAATTCATCTAAATGATTATGATGAACTGTAAAACTTGTCGTTGTTTCTGAAGTGGTAGCCCCAGGTCGAGCTCTAACTGTTGACCTTTAAAATTTATTGCAACCCATATTTGGATGTATGTGATTGATTTATTGTTTCAGACATGTATAATCACTCTAAAAGGCACGTGCTTGTATACATGTTTCCCAGACGTGGTATTTAAAGTTGCTAAAAGATGCACGTGACTGTATGCTCCGGAAAAGTGTTTCTTTATTTACAGCGAGTGTTTATATTGTCGTTGAGTTCCTTAAAATTACTAGCTATATTTTTACATGCTGCTTTTATCCCAAACACTTTTGAACTTGTTTGTGGTGACGTAAACATTGAAGAGGCATATTTTCACCTTATATTTGGAGTGTTGGCATCATGTTTCTTTGGCATTTCAATAACATTATACGTAATCATCAGTTTGTACATGCACACAGACGGACAAATGCACATTCACGCACAAGTATGAAGTATACATACGTACGTTCACTCGTACGTATATGCATAGATGCATTATTATTTTGCCAAAGCCTGCATGAATATACCAGTTACGAACTCATATATTCCTCTCTTTTTCTTTTCTTTTTTTGTTTATCTCCCAAGAGCCTATATGTTTGTATTCCAATTAACGTAATTTAAAGATTTATATTTCATACCCTTTTGCTGGTGTATTTGAAAATAAAAACTTGCTCTTTTCTTTCTTTAATTAAACAAAATTCTAATATTCATATTGTATGCCACTTTGCAGATGAATCTGAAACAGATAGTGAAGAGTCTGATGTCAGTGGTTCTGATGGGGATGATACATCTTGGATCTCGTGGTTTTGCAACTTGCGTGGAAATGAATTCTTCTGTGAAGTTGACGATGATTATATCCAAGATGATTTTAATCTCTGTGGATTGAGCAGTCAAGTTCCATATTACGATTATGCACTTGATCTGATTCTGGATGTGGAATCCTCTCATGGTAACCTTCTTGTACCTTGTTAGAAGTTCCATAGGCTGTCTTGTGAGCTTCGTGGTTATCCTGTCATATTTTAAACCTAATCGAATAAATATTGTGTCAATAAGCATCAAACTTTTATGACTTAAATCTGTTGAGCCTAAATACATATAATCGATTAAATTCAACTTTGGCTGTTGGTGATGGGCTCTGGATCAAGCACTTCTGCTTCTTTTGTTTCCACTTGGCAATCTTTTCAGTCCGCCAGAAAGTTCAGTCAAACCATTATACATTTAAAGCATGTCCGGCAACCTATGAAAATATTATAATTTGTAAATCTAACACTATGTGAATGTAGAAAGTTGTATTTATGCCCATAAACTTGGTTATCTTTTTCATAAGCAATTTTATCCGCCCATCTCCATACATTGTTCTGTTGTATGTCTGAATGAAATATGATTGTGCTCAGACTTTGCACAGATATATGGATTCGAATTATAACATAAAGTTTGTTGATCATCCCGAATTTTCTTAATACAATTGATCATTTCAACTTTATAACGCATGCCTTCTACATGTCACTGTTTATTCATTTGAATATTGTTTTTGATTCAATACTGATTATATATGGATTTGTTCATTTACTTTTCTGGTCATTTCGTTGTGTGACTTGTGATTTTCAGAAGTAGCCACATACTCTCCACATACTCTCCTTTTCTGATGATAAAATTTCATTTTTCTTTTATTATTATGCCATTTTTGACCTTTGAGTTACTCATACCTGCAATACACAAGCAGGTGATATGTTCACTGAGGAACAGAACGAATTAGTTGAATCTGCTGCAGAGATGCTTTATGGCCTTATTCATGTCCGGTACATTTTGACAACCAAGGGACTGGCTGCAATGGTAATAAACTCTTTTTTTTTTTTTTTATTCAACCTCATTTTTACATTATTATCTTATTTTAACTTGTTGGCCCGAATATAAAACCAGTTAGAGAAGTACAAAAACTATGATTTCGGAAGATGTCCGAGAGTTTACTGCTGTGGTCAGCCTTGCCTTCCCGTTGGGCAGTCAGACATCCCGCGCTCAAGTACCGTGAAAATATACTGTCCGAAGTGTGAAGACATTTACTATCCTCGTTCCAAGTACCAAGGCAGTATCCTTGCATTTTTGTTTTTGGGGTGCTTTTAGTACTCGGTTTCATTTTGATGCATCTTTTTACTCGTGCAGTGTGCAATCTGACATCTCATGTTGATGGAAGTTAATTTTGCTCGTTAGGATATTAAATGTTTGATAATTTCCTGCTGAGTCAATTCTTTGTTGTGTTGGAAGGAGCATAACAAAGAAAAGATTGTTTTTTTGCTATAACACGGTCATCATAATTGGCTTGGTATGAAAATTTAGTGCTAATTCTGGGTATATGCTCAAGCAAATTGATTTCTTACCCAGATTTAGGATTTGCTATAGTTTCAAGTCAAATTGAAAATTTGCCCATGAGCTTTATAATCTTGTTTTAAAACAATTCTAGTTATGTTTCATTATTTAAAATTCTGCATGTACCTTTTTTTCCTATGATACTTGGTGTGTTTTTATTTGTTATGTATAATATATCGACTTCTTTTAGATGATTTTCTTGACTGGCAAAAGACATTGATGGGGCATACTTTGGGACCACCTTTCCCCATCTGTTCTTGATGACTTATGGACACCTCAAGACACAAAAACATACTCACAGCTATGTTCCTAGAGTTTTCGGCTTCAAGCTCCACAAACCTTGAACGATGAGTTTTTATCAATCTTAATTCTCTTGAATCAAATGGGTCTCGTCTGGCTCGTGTGGTGTACAATTTGGGATGTAAACGAGGCAGGTACAAGTTCAGGGAGATGCTATTCTATTCGATATAAGAACATTGCTTTCTTTAATGAATAAGCAATTCTAGCTTATTTGTGAGGCAAATTTGCCATTTCATGTAAAAACCGACTCCATTTTCAGCATGATATGGTACCGCTTTTTTTTTTTTTTTTTTTTTCTTTTATGTGTGTGTAGTCTGTGTGTGCATACTTTAATGAGCAATGTATCTTTCATATATCCAAACTGTATGCAGTTTTCATTGCATATTTTTGCTAGTGCTGACTGCAAGCTTTTTAATACATTTGGGGTTTTTCTTTTATATTCTTTTAAACATGGTACGCTTGTTTTAAGATTAATATTTTATGCTGAGATTAGTTACAATATTCCATTTTTAACAAGTTTATCAAGATTTATCTTCATTTCAATTGACATTGAATACAAAAAAAAATCATTTTTAACCCCTTAATTGGGATGTCAAAACAACCATTGACAAACTTTAGTACTTTAGTTAATTCTAGCATGATTCAAAGCTTATCAAATAATTGTCACCGTTCATCAAAACTCACTAGTTCTCAAGAATGAAATTAACATACTGTAACGAAAAACAAACCGACACCAGTTTCGAAGGCTTTCAATTTAAACGAATGTTCCCCATAAGTTGAAACTTAAAGAAAAAAAAAAGGCAATTCTGATGATCCAAAAACTTTGCTTAATCTAATTCTCTGTCTGCTCCCGCAGCCTCCTAATGGTGCTCCTGACAGTCACGGCACTAGCAGTGCTGCAAAACAGAATCGCGAGAGTTATAGAAAAATTAAACCAAAAAAAAAGGGTAGGAATAAAATGTGATGGGGCATTGTGAAATTATTACTTCAACGTGTAGGCACCGCCAGCTTTCACTTTCCCGCAATCCTTGCATCCCCAGATGCCGACAGCCTTCCTTTTCACAGCGTACTGTAATGAAATATTTCAGCTTTAGCGAACCAAGGAAAATACCAAACCAACAGTATCTTTAAAAAGTAAAAACAACTTAAACCCTTTACCTTCCCACAGAACTCACAGAAGTACTTGCTGTGCTGACTAACTTCCATCTTCTTGATCTGCTTTCTCAAACTGGCACCATAACGAGTACCTGAAATGGGGCGTGGCCATGTCAAATTAGAACATCAATGACAAGATAATTCACAATGAAGATCGGTGGGAATACAACATTCATAATTCTGAAACATACCGTATTTCCCAACAATGCCAACCTTCTTGGTTCTCTTGGCCTATACATTAAGAATGAGATTTTAGCGGAAAAAAACAGCCATTGATAATACTATCGTCCAAAGCAAAATCATCAGTGGCCAAAATTTTTACTGAAAAGATCAGAAGCTACAGTACAGTAGGTTAACGGTTTGTCCACCGTCACAAAGACAAAAAAATTCTCAAACTGAAGAATAAAAATTGGAAGGCACTGAAAAACCACAACTGATTTATGAACCAAAAAATTTCCAGCTTAAGCCAAATTTAATAATGTAGGTACATATGACAAAACAGGATATAGCGACAATTAAACGATTTTTCCCAATCATCCATGATTCTAATCCTACAGTATTCAAGTTGCCCAAGATAGCCCAACAAACTCCACAAATCACACCCAACAAAAAATGCCACATTTTTTTGAGCAAAATCATATACATGAATCCAAATTTTTATGCTGTAAATCAAACATGTTCCCTTTATATCATGATCGCAATTCTACAGTATTCAAGATAGCCAAAAACCGCCACGTTTTGCAGCAAAATCGTATACGAAATCTAAATTTTTACACTGTCAATTAAACACGTCTCATTTGTACCATGATTCTGACATTACAGTATTCAAGATAGCCCAACGAGCTTCACGCATTGCACATACCCAACAAAAATCGACACTTCTTACAGAAAAATCACACATTAAATCTGAATTTTTACACTATCAATCGAACACGTCCCCATGGTACTAACAGAAGAAAAAATAAAATAAAATAAAATAAAAAATAATAAAAAAAATTCATACAGAGAAGTTCAAAATTAAAAAATGTGACCCATACCATTTGAGCTGAGCGATTGGCAGCGACTGAGAATGAGCGGCGTAAAACCCTAGATTCAGCTCTGTGGAAGGATTTTGATGAGGTTAGCTTTTCCCTAATATATATGAATGAATACTCAAAAAGGCCACAATCAAGGCCCTAACAGATAGTGGATTACGGGCTATCGAGTTTTTTTGGCCCAACTAAGCCCATTGGTCATACTTATTAGTTCTGATTACTTTTTTCTTTCAAAACTAGTACACTTAAGAGTCGAATTTACAATTGTTGCTTGATTGTTTATAAAATAATTTGTTCAAATTGAGTTATTTTAGTTAACTATGATTAATTTTGGAAAATATGGTATGGTTAGTTGTAGTTGAATTTTAAGAATGTATTAAAATAATATTTAAAAGAAAATGATTAAGGTTGATTTGATGTAAAAACTAGTACGTGACCCGCGCGTTGCGCGGCTTGACATTAAAAATAATTTGGGTGAATTATAATTTGATATGCATAAAACATGTATAGAGTTAATAAAAAGTAAGATAAATATTTTATTTAATATATTCAAGATATTCTCATGAATATAATCTTAGTAATCGATGAAATGTATTCATTATGACCATTATCATAAATAACAATCATCAAACAATTGGAATCGGTGACTCCCGAAAACAACATATAACTGGTTGTGAGTACAAAATACCATATATATTTTTTTTAAAAAAATATATAATTAAATTAAAATAATAATTTATGATATTCAACGAAAAATATTTTTCACATTAATTATACTCCTTGAAACTTCATCATTCTCGCATAATATAGGTAGAAATAATCCAATTAAAAAATATAATTTGAATAAGTAAACTAAAAAACAAAAATGACTCAATTTGAACTGCATGTTTCAAATTAGGTCCACATATTTTTCTCTCTTTTTTTTTTAAATTATCTAAATAAATTATAATAATTTTTTCAGACTGACATGCAAGATGAATCACCTTTTGCAAACTTACAAATAGGCACAGTAATCGTTAATATTCATGTTAATAACAAAGTTATTTATTTTTTGCGCGCAGTTAATGTGAAATAAAATTTAATATAATTTTTGGAAGTGAATTCATAAGATAAAAAAGATTACATACAAAATACACTATATATATTATAAAAAAGTATATTATTTTTATAAAACTAATATTTATGATATATGATAAGAAAAAAGTAGTTGATGTATTATAGTAAGCCTTATTGAATTTTATTGCCAAAAATTAGTAGCGATATTATATTATCATCATTCTCTTAACAAAATATGTGTTATAATAACAAAAAATTAACAATAATTAATACATTATGCCATATTTATTTATAAAAAATTATAGTTGCATAATTATGAATAAATAAATAAATTAAAATGAGGGCAACCACTTTAATCACATCCATTTAAATGACCTCAGATGTCGGTCTCAATAAAAAATGATATCGACTAAAAATAAATAAATTAAAACAACTATTTATTTTAAGCTCACCCAATTCAATCAAATGAACTAAAACCCATATAAAATGTCTCGTATATAACAAAAAATCAACTAAATAATTGGATAATAAATATACATTGTCGTAATCATTCTTTCGAGTCAAAACTATATCGTCATTATTTTTTTCTCATCTCTTATGGTTGAGACTTGAGACTCTCTCTCTCTCTTTTTATATCATTTCCTTTTTTTTTTTTACAATATAACTCCACAATATTAGTCTATTTCTTACTCATAAATGAAACCAAATTCCGATGTAATGTTCAAAACTAAATCATCTAATTTTTATTCTGTATACAAATTGTATCACTTTATGTCCATCTAGAAGTTGAAAAATAAAAGTACAAATGTCTATATATAATAAATTATATAATTTCAAGATGTTTTTATTTTTCTGTAGATTTTCAGGTCATAATAAGGTAACGATCAAGATGATAAATGTCAATGGATCGATCAATAGCCAACACTTATTTTGCATTGAATTTATGATAAGCATATTTTAACTTACTTTGTCAGAAATACATATTGAGAGAGTTATTGTTAACCAATAATAATAAAATATTTAAATGTAATATATAACTCTAAAATGATAAAAAGTAAAACTAACACATGTGATAAATGATAAAAAAAAATGTATGAACATGTTGAGATGGCCTATTCAATAAATTGACAAAAAATAAAAAATTATACTAACTAAAAATAAATAAAGTAAACAAACTTTATATTTTCGGGCCAATGAACACCTTCAATCAAACCAAATTCAGTATAAGTTTTTCTTCAATCTTCATAGTTAATGACATGAGTTATACCTCTTTGAAATAATGTCACTCTCCCCATTTGTATGTTATCATTTTTATTTTTTTAATATCAGTTCTGAAATATCATCCATTTTTAATTCATAAATAAAATTAAGTTTAGATATCATGTTCGAATTCTAAGTTTGCTTATATCTTTTTTTTTGTTTCGTTTGTTCATATTCATGGTTGATATTTGTAAAAGAACCTAAATTAATAATTTTTTTTTGGACCATATAAAGGTTATTTTGTGTTTTAGATATATATTTCATATGGACATGCAAGTTCGTCCTTAATGCCTGTAGATGGTGCTTTTTATTTTATTTTATTTTAAAAATTTTATTCTTTTTAGAATAAATTACTTTATTTATAACAGATATAACTCCATTCTTTCTCTCTCTATCTTTCTTTTTTTATTATTTTTAAAATAATTTATTAGAAAATAAAATAAAAATAAACATATATGAAATTTAGTTGTGTAAGTTTGCAATTTTTTACTAACCATGTGAATGAATTTTGTATTAAATTTTAGATATTTAGAAAATATCACCAATAATTAGCATGTTATTCTATTAAGTCGTAAACTATTGGAGCCCTTTTATTATAACTAAAATAGATAACCACCTTAAAGTATATTTTGTGTATATTATTTTCACTCTATATATGATTATAAAAAATAACATAATATATTTGAATTATTATACATAAACTATCTATAATGATAATTCTATTTTTTAATTAAGTTTTTGTACACATAATAATTTTTTGTTGTTTGAATTTTCCACGTGCAAGTCCCAATGCACAATTAAATATAAACTTAATTATATCATACTTAAAAATTGTCAAAATTTTTATCTAAATGAGAAATGTAGTTTTGGATGATTTTTTTCCCAAGCTACTTAACTAAGTGTACATTAAACATGATAGACAAAAATTAGGAGCTATGCACGGTTTCCTAACATACATGAAACAAATGTATTCATTATTCTCAAATTTAATACTAAGTAAAATTTAATGCAAAATTTAAGAAGAGATTAGTTATCAAATAATGTGCAAACATTTAATGTAGATTTTGAGCGAGAATTTGGCAGCTGCTCCACTTTAATATATATATAGATAAGAGATAAATGATTGGAAATGATAGGTAGTTAAAATTATGTGAGTGGATGAATAGTGAATTAAAGTTGATGTTATGTTTAAGAATTAAATATGGTTCTACGTAAGTTCATAAACATACTATCTTCGCTCGTCAGGATCGAATTTGGAATGTTAAAGGTCCTAACTCACTATTTGGATTTGTTATCACTCAACGAGATTAAAAAAACAAATACATTTAGAAAGTACGATACCAAATCCCACCTTCAAATTTAGCTGCAAATCTACTGTTAGAATGACCTCACGCATAACATTTAGACAACCATACTTTTGCCATACATATTTTTAAATTGAAACGTCAACACTCTAAAAATATATAAAGAATTTAAGTATGACATTGTGAAAAAAAAAAAAAAATATGACAGTTAACGATCAGACTGCCTCATAGAAACATGTGTGTTCAGTTCAAGATTTTCAAGAATTCTATTAAATAAAAAAATCATAAAATCAATCGAATTTTAAAAGTGAATTGCTATTTACCGCCCCCTTTTACTAATCACCGCCCCCAATTACGTTTTTGCCCTTATGACTATCTCTCTACTTTCTCTCTCTACTCTTTCCCTCTCGACTTTTCACGGCTCTTTTGACCGTCAAAAAAATGTCGAAAAAATCCGAAAAAAATACCATGACATCGGCAACACATTGAAGATTGACTATGTATTTTTTTTTATATTTTTTCACTTTATAAATAATTTTTTAAATTTTTTTTTTTATTTTTTTTTTCGTGTCCGGCCGGACGGACCGGACACACCAATGGGTGTCCGGCCGGACGGACGGACAAGTAATATAGCGTCCGGCCGAACCGGTCGGACACCAATTAGTGCGTCCGGTCCGTCCGGCCGGACACCCATTGGTGTGTCCGGTCCGTCCGGCCGGTCACCAATTGGTGTGTCCGGTCCGTCCGGCCGGACACGAAAAAAAAAAATAAAAAAAAAATTAAAAAATTATTTATAAAGTGAAAAAATATAAAAAAAATACATAGTCAATCTTCAATGTGTTGCCGATGTCATGGTTTTTTTTTCGAATTTTTTCGATATTTTTTTGACGGTCAAAAGAGCCGTGAAAAGTCGAGAGGGAAAGAGTAGAGAGAGAAAGTAGAGAAATAGTCATAAGGGCAAAAACGTAATTGGGGGGCGGTGATTAGTAAAAGGGGCGGTAAATAGTAATACCCATTTTAAAATATATTGAAATATCTTTAAAAATCTCACTGATAATTTAATTTTAAACAAATTATTCTCTCCTTTAAAATCCAGACTTTGTTGGGTAAGAAGGAGCAGAAAAAGAACATATATTTATACTTTACTAGGCTTTTTGGTGTTTGAAAATTGTGTGTACTAAACTGCGAGCCTCTCGTCAACGTGGACTCATTTGATTTCTCTTTTGTGCTGTGGCATTTCAAGACACTTTCTCGACAAAGAATTACCATACACGGTTGGTTTTAAAATATCATAATTCAACCCGGACCGTCGCCCGGCGGTCGACCCGGGATCCAGACAACTCGGAGCCGGAACCAGTCCGAGTAAACTATTTTCCGGTCGGGTTTAAAAACTATGGGTGAGATTCCATTTTCGCTTTGGCTAGCTAGCTACTCATGATCCATTGGTCTTTTTTTTTTTCCAGCCTGGGCAATTTTGTTTCTTATTAGGAGGTTCAAAGTTTAAATCTTTACACTCAATTTGTTCTTATCTTATTAGGAGTTGTTCGGCCAGATTCCATCTTCTTGACTTGTGCTGACATTTTTGTCTTCTCTGTTCCCCCCCCCCAAAAAAATAAAATCGTAAATTAATAATAAATTATCCGAATTCGCAGTATTCTGATCTTCTCCATTATCATATTTCATCTGGGCTCTCAACATTTCATGTTAAAAATTGAATCTTTACAGTTCCCACAACATTTATTGTGTATATTTCAGCTGGGTTCTTTCAAGAATATGCCTATATTGGACCTCAAAATTTGAATCTTGAAAAGCCCATTTGTCATACACAAAGAGGGGAAGAAAAAAAATGAAGTGTTTTTCTTATTTCAAGGAAAAAGCAAGCAACAACAGAGTGCAAAAATCAGCTCCAATTCTAAGGCAACAGAGCCAGTCTGATGTATCAGAGGCTAAAAGGGTCACCAAATCGTCTGCTTCGCCTCGCAGCATACCCGAATTGTACGAGGAAAAAGCTCATAATTTGAGAGTTTTCACGTTTTCCGAGCTAAAACAGGCGACCGATAATTTTAGCAGGTTGCTTAAAATCGGTGAAGGTGGCTTTGGGTGTGTTTACAAGGGAACGATTAAGCCGGTTGATGAAAAGGGTGAGTCTCTTGTTGTGGCTGTTAAGAAATTGAGCAGAAATTGTTATCAGGTTTGTAATTTTTTATTTTTTTTTTATTTATTTATTATGGTTGTGATTATGGTGTTTATGGTTCTTGGAGATTGTTGTCTGATATGATTGTTTTTTTTTTTCAAACACTGGATTGAGAACTTGTGCTGCTTTAATTGGGTTGATTTTTTAGTAGTATTTATTCATACGGTCTCATTACGGAACTATTTAGATCAACTATATCTGACGGTTACATGATAATCTAACGGTTACAAACCCCGACGGAGTGGTTCCGGGACCTTAACATTTTCCCAGATCATATAAGAGGGATAATTTTCTGTTGTTTGATTTGTCATTTGTCATTTGTTGTTGTTTGATTTTGTCATATATTGTTATACACTGCCTATCTAAGAAGTTCCAAATCAAGTTCATTCCTAGATGAGACTGATTGCCTTTCGAGTTTCAGCTCATTCTCAAAGCCCGAATGACTTGCAATTTGCAAACCTTTGATTATGCATCTGAGTCGTCAAAAGATTCAGACCGATGATTTTCATTTTGGGATCATTCGTCACATGTTATTACATTTTGAATCGCATATTTTCAGGGACACAAACAGTGGCTGTCTGAAGTTCAGTTTCTAGGCATAGTCGAGCATCCAAATCTTGTCAAGCTAATCGGGTATTGCGCGGTGGATGGGGAAAGGGGTATACAGAGGCTACTCGTTTACGAGTATATGCCTAATAAAAGCTTGGAGGATCATCTCTTTGACGAGGCATTTCCTGTTTTGTCGTGGGATTGTAGATTGCAGATAGTTCTTGGGGCTGCTCGGGGATTAGCTTATCTCCATGAAGAACTACAAGTTCAGGTCCTTAATTTCGACATTCATAGTAACTTAAAAGAAGAAACAATCGAGCGTGTGAGATTCTTGAAGGGGCACTGTTGATATTAGATTGCCTCGAAGATTTTGAGTTGGATAAATTGGACACGTTTTATGTATGTGTTTTAAGTCGAATCAAATCGAACGTGGAATCAGAAATCTATACACACCCTTATACTTCTCTTTAGACTTATGTGTAACAGTCTAAGTTTGGTATTAGAATTTAGAACAGGCATTTGACATTGCTTCTTCCTTTTTATGTTTAAGTCATTGACAATAAGCACAAAATTCGAATGACCGTTTTCGTTTGAGTCGATTTTGAAAACTTGATGTTGATTGTTTCAACTGATATCACAGGTCATATACCGAGATTTCAAGTCGTCCAATGTGCTGTTGGACTGCGATTTCCAGCCGAAGCTCTCGGATTTTGGGCTCGCCCGTGAGGGCCCCACAGCGGGCCATACCCACGTCTCGACCGCGGTACGGTTTCCCTTTTCGGTCACTAGAAAAACATGAAATAATTTTAACTACAAAAAATATAAAAAAAAAAAATCACCAAGTAAAAGGCAAGCCAAGGGTAAAACGGTAATTACGCGCAGGTCGTCGGGACACAAGGATATGCGGCTCCCGACTACGTAGAAACAGGGCACCTCACCTCGAAGAGCGACGTGTGGAGCTTCGGCGTGGTCCTGTACGAGATCCTAACCGGGAGGCAGTCCCTCGATCGGGACCGGCCGAGGCACGAGCGGAAGCTTCTAGATTGGGTCCGCGGCCGGAGGTTTGGCACGATCATGGACCCGCGGCTCGAGGGTCGATACTCGCCGGGCGGGGCCCGCAGGGTCGCCAGGTTGGCCGACAGCTGCCTGGCGAGGAGCGCCCGTGACCGGCCCAAGATGAGCATGGTAGTCGAGAGGCTAAGTGAGATAATCGACCTCTCGTCGGCGACCGAAAGCGACAACGAGTGCAAAAAGACGGAAATACCCGCCGAGCGGGTCGGGCCTGTGGAGTCGGCCCAGAGGAGGATGGCCCACCTGGCGAAGATTAGCGAGCACGTGGGCGGGGTCAACCGGAGGAAGTTCAAATTTAGGGTTACTTGAATGTGAGGTTTGGAAGGTAGGTTTGTTGGAGCTTTGGGTGTAAGAATGGTGAAAAACTAGTGTTTGGTGCAGAATTTGTGAGAAAAATTGTAGAGAGAGTTGGTTAAAGTAATCTTTAAAAACAAAACAAAATAAATAAATAAATATAAAAAATAAAAATAAAAAAACTGTCTAGTTTCTACCTTTTACTTCTTTTTTGGGGATTTTTTTTAAAAATAAAAAATAAAATGTGCATATTGATATATGTTGGATATTGCACAAATGAACAGGTAAGATTTACAGGTGGGAGTTTGTGTTTTCTAACCTGGTCGAGTAATTTGATTTAAATTATGATTGTATTATTTTCTATATGGGAGATTCTACGGTCCCGTTACGAAATCGAAATGGTTTTGTAATGAGGCTGTAGCATTTCTTGTTATACATGAAAATAAAAAATAATTCATTTATATATAAAATTTATACCTCACCATCAAACCATTTATCACATATATATATGTGTATAATTTTATTTTTAAAATAAAAATTATTTTAAAATTTAAAACTAAAAAGCAACATGTGCTACAATTGACGACCAGGACAAAGGGTCGTGATCTCATGAAAAATATATAATGGCCGGGTTTTTGACCGGATTTCTTGTTAATCGGTTCGAAGGATCCATTTGAATCGGTTCCGACTCAGGATCAATCGGGCCTGTGTCGACTCGCCGGGCCCGTTCGGGTCTAAAAACACTATTATTTGATTTATAGTAATTTGAAAAGTTGATTGATAAAATTACCAAAATGTGACATAGTCTGGGCCCATGGTGATGGTAGTGGTGTTTGCGAAGGTCTCTCACTGTTTTTTTTTTTTTTTTCCCCTTTTATGTCACGTCTTTTTCTTACAACTAACTGCATAATCAACCTAAAAGTTAGCACAATATAATATCAAATTGGCCCATGATATTAGCATCAATTTCACATCAGTCCCTGTCACAGGGGCCAAAAAGTCCCCACATATATATTCAGCTGGTACGCGATGCCTCGAGAAAACTATATTCCCTTCTAAGAGTTATTATTTATTCATAAACCCTCAGGATAAAAGCAATTTGTGGCTTATATTTCATTTGTTAATAATAATTATAAAAAAAAAAAACAGAAAACAGTTCTTATTGATTCATTCTTAGGTGATATTAATGAGAATAAATGGAAAAATGACATACAACTATTAAACAAAACAAGCGCTCGTAAACTCGGCTCACTCGGCTCGTTAAGGCTGAACTGAAAAACTTATTTAGTTATCGAGTTTAGTTGCTCGTCTAGTGATAAACGAGTCAAACTTTAGCTCGTTTACAGGCTCAACTCGATAGGAACTCGAGCTCGGCCCAATCAGAATTCCAAAGAATCATCATAAAAAAAGGCAAACATCACACAAGAAATTATTCAAGTAAAAACATCCATGTTTTTCATTGTCATGTTCTTACTTCGACATCACATATTAGCATTATAATGTAAGACCACAATGATATTTGAAACCATAAGAAACAAAACAAAACCAAAACAAAATAAAAATAGAATAAAGCTGCTTGATTGCCCTTCTCTTTTCTGTCACACTCATTGCCCACCATTTTTTTTCCTTTACAGAACAAAACCCACCTCTGTGAA